AAGTGCCGAGCTGCGAACCGTTTTTTTGTACTGTTGTTTTGGGCCATAGTCATGTACAGTGAAGAGGGGCAGTAACGTTCATTTTGAGTTCAGGTGAAAAGCGCGCAGAGTAATGAAGCTGGGTTATAAAACATTTTTTTCGTATTTTAGAAGTTCTGGTTCAAAAGCCCACGTGTTGGTTCGCATATTTCTTTTTTTTTTCAGTTTGATGTAGAGCTCGGCGAGATTACTACTCGAGTAAAGTATTCGTTTTTTGACATGTACGTCCCCCCGCATGCATGCCTTTCCCTCAATTGATCTAGTTCTAGCATGAGCCGGCCTGATCGCAAGCTTGATAACGCATGCCATCTTCATTCGCCTCGTCTGCGCAGGTCGCCAGCTTCAGTATTGGCGAGTCATTTTTGTTTTTTTGTTTCGTCACAATAACAATATTGTCTTCTATTTTCTCTTTTCCTTTTTGCAATATTGGTAGTGTCACAGTTGTTTGCCTCACTTTTTCTCACTTAAGCAAACAAAAGTTCTTTTTGAATTTCGCTATTCTCTTACGCTTGATCGCGTCCCCTCCGGAAATAACAGTTTTATCGCATACTATCAGAGTTTTTTTTACTTTGAAAGTTCTCTTTACTTTTCACAGTAACTTTTTTCTTGATATTCTTAGGCTCAACACCACTCCGATTCTTTCTTTGCTCTAATTTTTTTCTGAATAACATTTGTGCTGACGCTAATGCTGCTCACTTCACCTCGTTTTACGCACAAAGTTCTCCTTTTCTCGTTTTTACCATTTTTCTCATTATTGCCTCACGATAATTACTAAATCTACGCGTGTTCGCGTCCAAACTCGAAACAACATTTTTCAATCAATATTGTTAGTCTATATTTTCTGTTCGAAAAGTTTATGTTCGACTGGAAACTTCTTTCTTTCTTCTGCATTCTCAACCAAGCTACATTTTGGTGTTTTCTGCTCCAGCTTTCGGCTATTTTCTAATAGTCGTGACCCTCGACCCGTCCACCCTTTACTTCTGCATTGTTGAGTATCTATGACGAGGTTGAAGGTGGACAAGTGGAGCGTTGCGCGTTATTCTAGTTTTTTCTTGAATAGCAGTTGGACTTGTTCGAGAATTCTCTCAGATTCTTTGATCAAACGCATTTTATTTAACTGCTTTTCCTGGCTCAGCCATCTTGTCTCTTAAGATTAGTTCCGTTCGTTCTCAGCCTTGCCAGTCTTGACCTCAGCGTAGCGAGTATGATCTACGCCGACGGAGGTGGCATAGCGGAGTACGAGAAAAATTGTTACTATATTTTGCAATACGTCCAAAAAATCGACAAATTTCCTCCCAGTGACATACTGCATCCACAACATCTGATTATTGTTTTGCGAAAACGATTTAAAACACGTGTTGCTCCCTAATAGCAATAATCTGTCTTCTGTTTCTCCAAGGTGTTTCGCTCAATATCATAACCCGTATCTTCAAATGCTCTTATCATGGTGCCCTAGCCAGGCCTGACTTTATTCGCAAAATTAGAACCTTTACTCGCCGTTTCAGTCCTCTACGACTTTTTGTTCCAAAAATCAAACTGCAAACTCTACGACAAAAAGTTTCTTTTTTTACCAAGGTTGCGCGTGAATTGATCAAGGTTAGTCACAGCAATTTTGTTCCTAATTCATCTCTTTCTGCAATCTTAAAACCAGCATTTTCACAACAGAAATGGAGTTCTCTCTGCCCTCAAGGATTTCGTCTATTTTGTGCTGAGAAATTTACTTGCGCGGTTGTGGCACAACAATTTCATCCAAAGTATCACCTACCTTCGTACTAGCTTACAGTTGGCCTCCTCTATGCTACCTATCCCAAAGTAATTTTAAAGTCTCCAGCGCATCGCTGTGAACATCAGTCCCGTACACAATGAAGGTTGGGTTTATCGCGCAGTCACAAAACGTTCTATCACCAAACAAGGGAAAACGCTTGAAATGATCCAAAGTTTCCGGTATTATGGGTAACCTCAATCTCCCATCTCGAGTTTGTACATCAGTATGCGTTTCCACATTTCGCGGAAGCATTCCCCCCCCCCCCCCCACCCTTCCCTCCATGAAATGTTCGTATTCAACAAAGATTTCCCTAGCCACCTCAGCTCGCTGCGCAAAGTCCTGCTTCGTTTCCGTGATTTTAACATCAAAATATCAGGCAAAAAACTAGTCGATATAGCCCGCGCTAGGGTGACCTTTCCAGGGCATGAGATTCCAGGAGACAAGTACTACCCATCTGATATCTTCAGGCCCTCAAAACCTAACGGTCCCCTCGACACCCAAGGAAATCAAAAGGTTCATGAGTATGGCTAGTTTTTTTCCGAAAGTTTATCCAGAATTTCGCGGAAATAGCAGTTCCTCTATACGAACTTACCAAGGATAAAGTCAAGCTCGTCTGGACTAGCCGACAGCAGGAAGCCTTCCAGGATTTGCGCGACAAGTTAACAGCTAAACCGTGCCTGTCCTTCCCCTAGGACAAGGATTTCATTCTACACACCGATGGCAGCCAAATTGCGGTAGGAGCAGCTCTGCTTCAACAAGCCCACCACGACGGCAAATCCTTGGTAGCGGTAAGTTATTTCAGCAAAGCTTTATCTGATTCTCTTTCTTTTCTATCCTGCTATTTAGTATGGATCCCAATCTAAGTCCGAGGACGGACTTGTGGATAAATGGGGGAGGTGTAAGCGTACGTGCATAGGAATGCAAACGATAAATCTGAGTTGTGAGAACAAGATATAAGGCATAGATAAAGGATAAGTATGTTATGTGAATAAGATCAATTGTTGCAGATATGAGGATGACACGCATTCTGCAGTATGATACATAAGTCACCACGGTGATCATAATAAGGAATTCCAGCCCCAAGCCGCTGCTGTCAGCTACCAAGCGGCTGATGCCGCCTTCACCCGAACCACCTGCCTTCCAGGTTCGACTTTGTCAGACCTCTGTGATCCTCTCATATTTTCTCGCCAATAAACCATTACATGTTACAGTATTACTGGTTGTTATAATAAATGATGCTATACCACCGTGTCTCTACCATTAAGTAAGCCGCTTTCATGGCGCTACGTTCACTTGTAAGCATATGTGCATAGGAATGCAAACGATAAAGCTGAGTTGTGAGAACAAGATATAAGGCACAAATAAAGGATAAGTATGTTATGTGAATAAGATCAATTGTTGCAGATATGAGGATGACACGCATTCTGCAGTATGATACATAAGCCACATCGGTGAGCATAAGGGAGTATTCCAGTGTCAAGCCTCAGCTGTCCAGCTGCCAAGCGGCTGACGCCGCCTTCACCCGAACCACCTGCCTTCCCTGTTTCTTCATCAGACCTCTGTGATTCATCCATGTTTTCTTGCCAATAAATCAATTCTCATGTTACAGTATATCTGGTTCTTAAATAAACGATGCTATCCCCACTGTGTTGCTACCGTCAAGTAAGCCGCTTCCACGGCGCTACGTTTACTTTAGGCAAAAGCCGCCGAAGGATGTATCGCGCGCGGCAGTGGTCCTATAAGGAAAGCATTACGGTCGTGGGAAACTTTATACCACACGAATTGCCTTTATCGAGGGGATTGAGCACGATATTCTTTAAACAGCACTTTAGATAATTCTCTGCCAAGGTTTCAGGCAGGTTTATGATTTTTACCCGCTTTTACGCGATGACTATGATATTGTCATCAGCGGCTCAAATAACCCCCATATACCGAGTTTAAGCAAGATCCGTTACAAAAACATTTTGGGGCCCCGATAGCCGAATAACGCCACCAGTGTTTAGAATTATCCTTACTTTTATCGATTTTATTGTTTTTTGTGCAAAGTTTGAGCTACGGGGCTGGGGGTTGGTGAGGAAGGTAGGTGAGCATACTGATTACACGCAGCGGGAATGGGGAATGTAGAAGTGGGCACAGGTAAAGGTGTACAGGGATAGAAATGGAACCTTTATTGTTTTTGACAGGGCTAGGCGGAGCAGGGTAAGCCAGCTAGTAAGTTTTATAATTTGTTTGAGCATACAACCGGCGTCTTTGAGTGCAGTAGAAATTCTGTTTAGTTTACAATTTGGAACTGGATTTTTTTTTGAATCTTCACTTTTTTTTCTAAATCAATGGGCATAAGCATCCTTGAAAACCAGCTTTCTTGGTGGCAGCAGTCAGATGAAAATGGTACTGACTGGTATGGTACCCGCACAAGGTATTGACTCCGAATTTTCCACCCGTGTAAGAAGGATGCGGCTTGCAGTTGATGGCAACTAAATCTAAGCAAGAAAGATACCAATAGGCAACCTAAAATAAAATGTATAATTTTAGATGTGTCTTTTGAGCGGTCTCAGATCTATCTTTCACTTATTTGTGTTTCTGGTAGATGTGTTCCATCCGTGGAAAGCATACTCAACACCATGTCGACTGAAGTCTCCAAAACAAGAATCGAGAGCACATCGGTCATCCGAACCTCACGCCTTATACACCCAAACGCATATTTTCTTTCAAACAATCGTTCAGTAAATGGGAAAGGCAAATCCAAAACATAACTCAGCAAGACGCATTTAATGATATGCAATTTGTTCCAAATCGCCAGTGCGACTTTTGAATTTCCTTGTAAGAAATCGAGAAATTGATAACAAATGGATCATTCTGTTTAATAACAGTGCCTTGCAAACAATGTGTATGATTTTATTGAATCCACAATCTGTGAAATATGTTTCAAATTAACACCACTCTGCAAGTGTCATGCCATCACTGGTATTTTTTCACCCTCAGGAGGAAGATCTCCAAACATAATTACTTCACCTGGTAAGCCACCCCCCCCCAGGAGGAATTTTTTCAAGTGGATAAGGTGGAAGTCCATCTGATCTACTTTCATCACATTTATCACTGCAGACTTTGGCGGTACATACGGCTTTCCTTCCGAACCCACCAGGCATTCCCATTCTCATCTCATTGAAAAATTCTTCCAAAACTTGTTCCTCCATACTTAGGACTGTGTGCGCTTCTTCCAGTTCTTCTTCGTCCTTTCGAAAACATTCCTAGTACGCATCATTTCCATTCCCGGTCCACCTGGTCCACGTGGCATCGTTCGCGGCTGCGGTAGCGGCCTATTTAGTGGAAATCCCGAGAGTGGCCGTTTGCCTGGTCTAGCTTGTACCACTCCTGCTCTAGGTGGAGCGGTGGCCTGGCCTCTGTCTTGAAAATGATATTGTGAATGAAATTGTAAATATCTGAGTACTCTAATTTCTGATCAGGTTTTATGTTTATAGACAAAGGAAAAAAAGTGCCCTACCTAGTCCAAATGTGGAATGAATAAGAGCAATAAGCGCCACGAACTCCAGCAACATTGGCAGACTTTTACTTTGGAGATTTGTGGGATTTTGGCACTTTTTGAAAACGAATGTCTTTATCCAAAGTCTAGGCTGAACAATGCTACCTTGCCTTCAAAGTTGCTTATATTGACTGCAACGGCTAAAATACATTCATTATTCATTACAATGCAAAAAGGGCCATCAAACATCCTCGCAGCTTTAATGTTCAAAAAATATTCGCAACTTGGCAGTTTTGTATTCGTGATGCTTATGACCGATGTGAACAAAAACATAACATTTTTTAGAACTTCGTTAGGGCTTTTGCCGCAAAAACGACACATTACATCTGAAACCACAATAAAAAATTATCTGGCAGAACCAGGGCTTAGTTTTTGATGAATAAAGTAATTTGTTTTCTTAGACATGAATTATCGCTGCCATATGTTTGTTCACAGCAATGTCTTATGGAAAATTTTACCTCATTGTTTCATGCAGAAGTTAATACCAATAAGATACGGAAAAAATCTTTGAGAGTTGAATAAGTGCACTACTTTTCGTGAAAAGAAATAAAGGAATAGTAGGCATACTAAATAACTTGTCTCATTGATTGCTTGCTGAACCACGCATCAAATCTCCCTGAAGAATTTTACTATTGCAGGACTTAAAGAAATTAAAGATAAATGGACAAGAGTGCATGTTAACGCGGATTCCATCAATCCTACGATTTCTAAAATATCTGTGTCAAATATCTTTTTCAAGCATGTGCATACCCCGTGGAAAAGCTGATGTCTGTTGTTTGGCGTATGATTGAAAAATATTGCAGAACTAGATAGCACAACCAAGCAGTCAAACGACTAAGTAATTTCACTCAATGTCAGGCACAGATGAGCAAATATATTAGGTGGATCCGAAGGTATGTCGCTTTCTTCAAGTGAACGCTACATTTTTGAAAGCAAGGTTTCTGGAAAATCTTGAAAGCCTTCGATGCAGCATTTCATTCTCTTTTCAATGGTTATATGTGTCGCGGATTCGCGACTTCCTTTAAAGGAGGCCGCCGCCGCGTTGCGAATCCATCGCTACCGCCGCAGCTTTCAAATCAGTCGTCTATCTCGTTACATGGTGAGCGGTTGGGTCCCAGTTTCGTCATCCCACGTGTCGATCGATGCAGCGCCGTCCCCAACTCACACGTTCAACTACATCTACGCCATGGAGGACAGGCAACCACGTAGACGAGGTAACCCCGTGAGCGCTCGCGCCTGGCACATGCCGGCGACACCGCCGCGGGGGGGGGGTTTCCGATATTGTCGGCCCCTAGGTTTAAGATCGGGCTGGTTGTACTCCACCCTTGTGTTTGAGTTTAGGGATTAGTTGTGGATAAATGGTGGGCATTTTACACGTGTGATTTGTTTGGTGCGGTGAGCCACAGCTCGGCTGTGGCTCCAGGGATATCTCATGTCATCGTTATTGTTGTGTGCTTATAATCAAGCCTAGTGGGAAAGATCTGTTAGAAGGCTGGCAGCTAGCTAAATGCCATGGTTAGGTGTACGCGCCCCAACTGTCGATGGTTGGGAGAGTTCGAGTCGCAAGTGCCGAGTAACTGCTAAGCAGGCTGGTGGCAAGGGCCTCTACGTGTGTATGGAGTGTCCCTGTGGCAGGCGCACATAGCATTTCTCACAGGTAGCCACCTCACATGATACGCTTCACTCTTTCACAGAGCGGATCCCTGGCTCCCCACGCCGATGCAGGAGAGCCGTTACACCACTGACGTTGGGAGATGGGGGCCCAATCCGCGACAATATGAGCATTCGATAAGTTCCAAAAAATAACCAAAATCTGCTACCCGTTCTCGAGAAGGTCAAGTTTCACAATTTTTTATAAATTTTTACAACAATCCGCCGAAGGAGTCCAAGAAAGAGGTGGATTGAACAAACCCTGTAGGAAGCAGCACGTTTTTTTTCTACTTTCCATAGCTCGCCAAAATTTTTGATTTTTCAATGAAATCACCGAATTTTAGCAGGCTTGTCCTAAACACAAATGCATCACACACCAACAAATTTTCGGATTCTAAAACTTGCAAAGGTGGATTATGGTTTAACACTAATTTTACAAGGCGAATGAACGTTTACCGCTTCACAACAGCAACTTTCGGAAATTACGGGACAGTCTGAGGCCCCCTGGAAAGTCTGAATTATGATGATTTTATCCCGGGAACCTTTTTAAATCGGAAACCAAAAACGACTGGTAAAAAGAGGAGAAAAAGCTGCGTCGATTGACACCCGAGTTGCCTGCCGGTAGCTTTTCTGTGAGGTTTGAGTTGAGCAAATGTGGAATTTGATAGCACTGAAAAACTGATTCTACAAACTCTATGAAGCAAATTCAGGGATAGAAAAAAACTGTTTTGTGTTCTATATGGTTTGCTTTATTTATCTGTTACTTGTACATCTTCGGTGAATCAGTACAAAAACATAGAAAAATAGCCAAACTTGACATTGACAAAAAGCATGAATCGCAGGTTTTGTTAATTTTTTGAGAGCTCATTAAATATTACGCAATAAAATTACAACCGTTAGAAAGAGGACAAAATGCTACATCGACTGAGCCCAAGAGTTCTTGAAAATCTTGGTCTCACGATATGTGTTCACCTGAAAAAAGTGACATTACTTTCGGAACGACCTAATATCTGTAAAACGCAGAAGCTTTTAGTTTCGGTAATTTTGCAAAATTACATTCACTGGTCAAAAGTCTAAGAAGTGAAAGTGTTTTTGTTGTGTTCGTAAATGATCAGTTGTTTTCTCGTATGATCTGCCCTCGCTGAGGCGCCTGCGACCTCAATGCGCGGGAAATGAGCGCTATAAAAGGCGCTCGCTGTTAGCTATTGTCAGTTCGTCTGTTCACTCATCTGCCACTCTTATCTTTAACTGTTCTATGATTTTCTAATAAATATTCTTTATTCCTCGTGTGCTACCTCAGGACGAAGAGTCGACATGTCCGACGCGGAGGACGCAACAGTGGCGATCAGGACGTGCGGCTACTATCGAAGAGTAGCCGAAGTACGAAGCTTTGGATTGAGTCGAAGATCGAAGATTCGTAAGCGGAAGTGATCGATCGACATGGCGAAAGTGGACGTCCAGGAGATGATGATGATCTTCAAGGAGATGATCAAAGAAGAAAGGAAGGAGATGATGGAGATGTTCCTGAAACACATCGGAGGCACGAAGCAGAACAGTTCGACGGAGATTCCGAATATGATGTCCGCACTGAGCAATCGGATCGAAAAATTCTACTTCGACTCCGAAGCGGACATGTGCTTCAGCAAATGGTACACCCGCTACAAGGAAGTCTTCGTCGAAGATGCGGAGCAGCTTACAGAGAGTGCCAGGGTGAGGCTGCTATGCGAAAAATTGGACAAGGACAGTTTCGAAAAATACCAGAGGCATGTGTTACCAAAGGAGGTAACCGCGATTAATTTCGAAGAAACCGTCGAAACATTAAAGCAGCTGTTCGACGTGAAGATTTCGGAATTCACTATGCGGTACCAGTGTCTGAAACTGGAGAAGGCAGATTCCGAAGATTACCTCCTGTACATCGGTCGAGTGAACGAATTGTGCGAAAAAGCGAAGATCCATGACTTGGACAGCGATGGCATAAAATGCTTACTATGGATTTTTGGCCTGAAGAGCCAAAAGGAAGCCGAAATCAGGCAGCGACTCATAGCCGTACTAGACAAGCAGTACAAGGCCGGACGAAAAATATCGCTGCAGGAGTTGTATCTGGAGTGCGAAAACTTCCTTAGTCTCAAGAAAGATAGCGAGACTGTGGCTGGTTGCACGAAGATTGTCGAAGCAATAAGCAAGGAAGAACCCAAGAAGCTGGAATGCTGGAACTGTGGTAAAGCTCACTTTGCCAGGGAATGCAAAGCGAAGCAGTGGTTTTGCAAGAAGTGCAAGAAGACAGGTCACAAGGAGAAGTACTGCGAACAAGTGGCAGAGAGAAAAGCACCTGTTCAGCAAGATTCGAAACGAAGAATCCACAGAAGCAGCGATACCAGCAAAAACAGAAGTTGGACGAAACCAAAACGCCAAGTGCATAGTGTTGCGAAGATTGCGAACGCAATAATGGAAGTGAATTCGACTCGCGCATATGTGGAAGCGAAAGTTAATAGTCATCCAGTTAGTTTCTTACTGGATACAGGATCAGATATCACCTTGCTAAACGAAGCAATCTGGAGAAGCATGGGTGCTCCACTGCTGAAGGAAACAAGCGTGATTGTTAAGAACGCTAGTGGAGGCTCCATGAAAGTTCATGGAAAGCTATGGTGTGAGTACGAAATCAAAGGATCCAGAAGCGAAGGCTACGCATACGTGACGCCCCACAGCTCACTGCTAGGATTAGAGTGGATCCAGAAGAACGAAGATATGTCCTATCACTTGAGCAGAATGGTTGCTGAAGCGAAGACAGAGCAAACCAAGGACATTGCTTTGAAGCTAAAGGAAGCCTATCCGGAAGTCTGCAAAGAAGGTCTAGGACTCTGCACAAAAGAGAAAGCGCACTTGAGAGTTAGCGAAAACGTTCGCCCAGTATTCAAGGCTTGCAGACCTGTCCCTCATGGCTCGAAGCCGTCGAAAAGGAGCTTGATAGGCTGTTGGAGCTAAACGTCATAAGCCCAGTAACGCACAGTGAATGGGCAGCTCCCATCGTATGTGTCAGGAAGGCAAATGGAAAGTTGAGAGTGTGTGCTGACTTCTCAACTGGACTCAACAAAGCTCTGGAGTCGTATGATTACCTGTTGCCATTGCCGGAGGATATATTCGCATCCCTCAATGGAGGCACGGTGTTTTCGCAGAGATCTGTCGGACGCCTATCTGCAGATTGAGTTGTCAGACGTAGCGAAGAAAATGGTTGTAATTAATACGCATAGAGGGCTCTACCAGTACAACAAACTGCCTTTTGGAATCGAGACAGCACCAGGGATCTTCCAGCAAATCATGAACAAGATGGTGAATGGTCTGCGAGGAGTAGCAACCTACCTGGACGGC